CCTTGCTGTATACTTCTGCATGACTGGGCCCATTTGTCTTGGGACAGGGGGTAACGCGCTTTATCAAAAAACAGGACAACACAACTCAACCTGACTGTGAAGAACATGGGTTGGGTCATTGATCACCTTCCTGCCGAGTTTCCTAACAGTCTCCCCAAAAATTTGCTGAAGTGAGCTTGAGGTCACACTTATTATTTAACCAGCTCTTTTAGTCAAGGTAAAAATCTGTGATTTAAGTTTGACTGACAGGTTACCAAACCATGTTGACAAACTATAACGTAAAATTGATTCCATACATGCTCTGTAAAACATCAGTATTACATTTGTATCCACTCCATGTAACCTAAGCCGTCTTAAAAAATTCTTGAGCAGACAGATTGTACATGCGGCTCCACTGGAGTTGAGAGTCAAAGAACACACCCAAGTGCTTATAACATGTCACCTGCTCTATATCCCTCCCCTTGATATTAATGGGGCTGTGGTCCCCGACAGATTTGGGGTCAAAAATCAACTCTTTTGTCTTTTCCTCATTTAAGACAAGGTTGTGATCCTCACACCAATGCACCACTTCATTAATTTCTGTCTTGTCACTGATGACATCTGTACTTTTATTGAGTAAACTAAGAATAGCTGTGTCATCAGAAAAATTTAAATACATAATTGTTTACCTGCTTACTCCTACACGCATTGGTATACAAAGTGAAAAGAAGAGGCGAGCTAACACAGCCCTGTGGTGCCCCAGTGCTGATGACCTGAAGACCTTTAAATCTTTTCTTTTAACAAGAGGTTTAGAGTAGAAGTTAACGCAAGGATGAGAAAGTTACCTTGAGAAACATTTTACTTATAAATACACATGTATATATACTTATAGATGGTAGCTTTAAACTGTAAGATAAAAAAAAAAGGTAAGAAAATACCTTTTTAAATTTTTTTATTTAATTTTTTACAATTGTCTAATTTTTAAAAATTAAATAAAAGTATTCATATTTTTGCATGAGAGAAGGCAAAAACATCACTATAATGCTATCAATATTATAGCTGTATAGATTTTAGTACGCAGTAACGTAGGACACAGTCATCTTAGAACTTCATTTCTGAACTGTTCTCCGAGTTTCCAAGACAGAACTCCAAGATGAAATAATGTTCCAGTTTAAAGTTACAAGTCAGAACCCAAAAAATCCAATCTTCGAGGCCGAACCATTACTTAGGGCCATACGAATTTCAGACGTGCGTAACATGACCCACCCTTTCGCTGTCATGACAACACACATCTTAATAAACAACTCCAAATCTCTTCATCTGGATGTAAATAAAATGAAAACGCGAGGCCTCTTTTGACATTCTGCTGTTGGCTCAGCTTTATTTGTACACTGGCATTTACCTCTCTGTCTGTGTTTGTCGCTCATCCCTCCATCCTCCTCCTCTTCCTCCTCTGTCGTCTCTCCATCCTCTTCCTCACGTGCACAGTTATGGCAGCAAACAGGTAAGGCTCAAACATGAGCAAATATGGATTAAAGCATCGGTGGTATTTTCATTTCAATTTTAGAATCAAAAAGTGGTTTATCATTATTATAAGGAAGCATAAAGGCTAAATTTGAACAACAAAACTGAACAGTAGTATTTTGGTATGTTTTGTGCATGATATAAAAATCTGAATTCAGAATTTTGAATTAAAATTTATTTGAAATTCTTGAATTTCACACTCAAGACTGATTTTTTTTTTTTGTCCTTTTAATTGAGGAAAAAAAAAAGTCTTGCCCCAGTACAGGTACATTGTATAAGTCTGCTGCTTGCTGTCGGCATCTAATTTTAAAGCACTTTACTGTTGGTTAATCAGAAAGCACTCAGTTAGCATACTAGTTGCTGCAAGCTTTACATGGGTTTTAGCAAGTTGTGAAAAGCACTCAGTATTAGACTGTGATTTCTGTTTTAATGATAGGATTTAGTTTAAAGTTCATATTGTAAACATGAAGAATTGGCAAAAAGATTTAGCAGAAAGAGTCAGCAGTTTTTATCCAGAATCACAGGATGTTTCTTTTTGTTTGTGGAGGAAATTATCGTACTTTAAAAACAGCAGCATTTGCGATTTGCTAACTGAATCCATTCACATTTCAATTCAATTTGCAGACCTAGTAAGTAAGTAATTTTGCACAAACGTAGCATGTAAAGCTTAATAGATAATCAAAAATATTCATAACACAAACCACCATGCAGTTGCAGTTAGGATACAGCAGAGGGCGTACTAACCACATGAATATATCAAGCGTTAGTAAGGATTTAATTAGGAATGTCACGGTGTTAAATTTTAGCTGACTTTGAATAAAAAAAACAAAACTTAAGAGTAACGTTACTTCAAAATAATTTCACCCATATAGAAGAGGTCCTAGAAATTAAGATTTAAAAAAGTATTTGGAAAAAGTACTACTCAATGGAGTGTAACGTTGTATTTATAATTTGAGGTTAATGTAACTGGAAGGATAAAACATTAAAATAATGCGCAAAATCTGTTAAGGATAGAGCACAAAATGAGAAAAACTACACTACCAAAACTAAGTTTGGTTTACTATTAGGGATGTAACAATATCGAAATCTCTCTTTACGATATTTTCACAATATACATCTCACGGTACAATATTTATTGCAGTATTTTGTTTAGGCTAACAAAATTGTAAATGTACTACTTTTTCCTCTTAAAACTACGATTTAAAAGTGCTTAGAACTGTTATTTCTTCATGTAGTTTGCATCAAAACAGAGCAAAGGATCATGGTCTATGTAGTTCCCTCTTTTTTTTTTTAAGCTATTGCTGCTCCATAACAATGAATTTAGGTAAAGAAACTTGTAATTCGATATATTGGGTAAATTGGGTATATTGGGTAGATAAATGCTGAAGACATCAAATATAATGAAGGAACTGTGTTGTAAAGGAAAGAAATAATTAACTTTTTTTTTTTTTTACATACTTTACATTAAAATCCTCAGTAGTAAGTATCTACTCTTTGCTTTGTCGACAGAGACGCAAACCCTTGGCCTTCTCTCAGTGAGCTTCATGAGGAAGTTTCATGTAATGCAGACATGTCAAACTCAGGCCTGGGGGTCAAATTTGGCCCACGAGATCATCTCAAATATGTATTAGAGCTGGCACACTGGCTACAGATAGACTGTACAGACATTATTTATTTAAAATTTTGTTATTGTTTTATATTATGCTAGTTCTGGATTTAAGCAAAACTATTATTAAACATTTATTTTTTAAGAAAAAGTTTTAACATTACATGTCAAAAGAAGAGAAAACGTGCAGATGCTGTTGAAACTTTCCATTAAATATTTAGTTTGGCCCACGCCTTAGTCCCAGTTTTTAATTTTGGCCCTCTGTGAATTTGAGTTTGACACCCCTGATGTAATGGTTTTCAAAGGCAGGAATAAAAACAAAGGTGTTTTTTTTGTTTGTTGGTTGGTTTAATGTTTAAAAAAAAACAAAAAAAAACAATCAGCAGTTTTGAGTTATTAAAAGTTTTTTTTTGTTTACGTCTTGCTTACTGAGATTTTATAACTATGACCAAACAATGAAATCCTTAAATATGCTCTGTGTAACTTTTCTAGCAAAAGTTCCCTCATGCTCGTTCCCATAGAGATGTACCTCTACAGTCAAAGAGGTGACGCTACCTGCCCACTTTAAAGACCAGATCTGTGGAGAGGCGACCTGTTACGACCCAGCTTGTTGGGGTCAGGGAAGTAACAAAGATAAAAAAGATTAAATGGAATAAATTAAACAATGTTTAATCAACAGGGATGTAAAAGGTAAATTAACAAAATAGGCTAAAATATATACAGAATATAACCTAAACCAGAGGTTTCCAAGCTTTTTCCTTCTGTGAGCTACTTTTTGTCTAACGAAAACACCAGAGAGCTACAAATTTTTGGAGTCACCAGAAATTTTGTAAATATAAGAACCATGGTAAGCTGAAGATGAGGTAGAATTAGATGTCTTTCAAACATAACCCATTATCCAGTTATAAATGTACAAAATTAGGCATAAAAATTATAAATTTACAAAGGAAATTTAATCAATCAAATTTGAGCTATTCAGCCCAGTATATATAATTCAGAGATCTCTTGGTGAGCTACTTGGAAGGAAATGGAGAGCTACAAGTTGGAGCAACTATGAAACAAAACAACTGAATTAACGTACGAGTTTTGTGCCCAAAAAAATGGGTCAGGCAGGCTTATACAAAAACGAGTGATTAAACTGAGGGACACACAAAACTGCCAAATTAAGAAAAAGCACAAAACAGAACTAAATTGTCTCAATAAAATAACAAAATCAGACACATACTAATACAACACAAGTGACGCACAAAAGAGACACACACAAACACAAAAGACAGACTGGACACAAAGGCCAGCAGCCCCGAAAAGATGCTGCAATTGCCTTAAATAGAGGGAGGAGGCTGGAGGTGAGGCAGGATTGGGCAGGTGAAGAAGTGCCCCACTAATCATGGACCAGGGATCCCGCAGCAGGATCCAGGACAGCCAGCAAAATAATTTAAAGCACACATAAAAATGGAAATGAAGGCCTGGAGCCATAACATGGATTCACTCAGTCCTTTTATCTTTCGTGCAGTGGACATTGGCGATTTCAGATCATTCAAATGAAGGTGAATGGAGTTTAGAAACACAGTGGAGCATTACCACGCGACATGACAAGGTGGGAGGGTTTTCTGTTTGAGAAAGAATTCAGTCTAAATATGCAGGGTTTGTGTGTTAAACATGTGTGAATGAAACAAAACACAACTCCAGGTTTGACTGTGATAAGGAAACATTATAATATGAATAAAATAGTGCAACATGAGTCATCAGTAGTTAAAGAAGGGAAATGAAGACAACATACTATCAATCAAACTCAATCAATCAAACTTTATTTATAAAGCACTTTTCATACAAAAATGTAACACAAAGTGCTTTACACAGATTAAAAACAATCCCACATTTCCACCCACCCACCCAACCCAACCCCCACACACATTAACATGCTAAAATACATAAAACGACACATAGTAAAATGTGAGGCTGAATACAGGCGAACCAGTTGAGAAAGCACCATCAGAGGAGCCGTCTACATCAGGAGCAGAGAGACGTCCACCACCACCAGGAACCACCACAGGAGCCAGGGGAGAGATGAAGCCCAAGCTCCAACTCTCCACCAGGAGCCCACGGGACAGACCCGACAGCTACAGCCGACCTCTGCTCCTGATGCAGAGGGCTCCTACAGGATTCAAATTATCAAAAATTAGGCAAAAAAACCCCCCAAACAATTAAATAAAATATACCACAAAAGGGTAAATATTTCATCTCAAACCACGAATAACATCAAAATGAACAAATGTCTTCAAAGGCCTGAGAGGTCTTCATTAAACTGCAATGCATACACAATGCAAGTACAAAAACAGTGACACCATTTCAAAAGAGGGATTTTACTTCAGTGTTATTAATTGCCAACACATTACATATTTAGATCACAATGTTACCTTTTACTGATTTGATATTAACATGTTTATAAGTGTCACTTTTAAGTTTTTTTATGCTCTGAATCAAAGGTCAGTCCCTCTTAAGAGTGCTGTGCATTCTGCTAATGAAACTACTGCACATCAGGTTTGTAAAATTGTTGTGTACAGTTTGATATCGTGCTTTTGTATATTTAGAATTGTCGTGTGGGAGCATGGGTGACGTAGACTTGTGGGTGGAGTGTTGACAGAATCTTACAGCTAACCGTAAGGAGGGTTTGAATAGTGCCCATGAGAGATTAATTACTAAAACGTCCATGGATGAAAAAAAAATCTACTTTGTAAAATACCCCTTTTTAATCTTTGCATAGTTAAGAGAGTATTTACAGAATCTGGTGCTGGTGGAAAACCATGGTCTGTGATGATGTTATCCCTGGTGTTAGAAGGACATCTAGTGATAAAACGGGGAACTGTACAGTACTTCCAGAGAGCTTCAGGAGACTTAATGTGGACTCCTCTACCAAAGGCTGATGACTGAACGGATACTGCGAAAACAACACACACACACATTTAAAACATTATTTGAAACAACACCACATAAGGATTATAACAAAACACAGTAACACTACAACATACATTGTATTTAAAGGAATACTTTGAAAACACATCAGATGTCAATGTGAAAAAAGGTGGATATCTATACAAAACTGGACAGGGCAATGTCTTAGGATCAGACGGATGGTGCCTCTTTTAATGGAAATGAACAAGAGATGCAGTAGAGTGACAACAATGAGACAACGTCTAAAACAGTACTGGTTTTACATGTGGAGGTCATTTCAAGTTTCTCCCTCTTGGTCTTTTTGGCTGCCTTTCCACTAGTGCAGCTTTCGGGAGTGATTATCACTATTGGGAGTATAAGGTCATTCCTTAACCCTACAGAAGCCGCACAGATTGTCCAACTTCTCCAGGATCACACATCCCAACGTGCTCATTAGGAGCATGCCACAACATTGTCAAACATGCACATAAGCATGTGGGGTCTCACACGAGATATTGAGAAGTATTCTGAGTTGCAGTTATATTTTGGCAAAATGGAGAAGCCTTCCACATCATTATTTCACTTTGAAGGCCTCTATAAAATGAAGCCCTCTGTTGGCAGAACATTTTATGTTCATTCAAAGACGGGGCATCCTTTTGTTTCTTAAGACATTCCCGTGTCCATATTTGTTTAGCTATCCAGCATATTTTTTCACATTGCGATTGATGTGTTTTCAAGGTGTCCTTAAATTTTTTTGAGCAGTATATAAGCATGTTGGTTTCTTTTTGTACAAATGGCACTTTGTAAAGTGTTTGATTGATTGACTATAAGAACTACACCCAATAAGCCTTAAAGCCAACTTTCTTGAGGAATGAGACGTGTCAGCTGAAGGATTCCATTGAAATTCTCATTCGTAACAACCTGCATGGAGATAAGGTACACTGTGGAAGATTATGGTCAAACGAACAATATTTTCAAGGAAAGAAAACCAGAGTCATACACATTTATTTTGTATTATTTCTGTATGCAAAAATAACTTCAACATGTTTATACTTCAGTCTATTTGATTTATAGAAAGTTCCATGTGGGGCTTTAATAAAACATGAAGACTTAATTCATAATGAACAAATAGTTGATTAATGATTCAGCCTTAGTGACCAGTTCATAAACACTTTAAACCTAAAACTGCTACTCCTCACAGCTTCAGTAAGTAGTTACTAAGGGTGAATCATTCTTAATTATTTGTTCATTATGAATCAAGTCTTTTTCTATTATGTACAAATTACTTTTAAGAGCTTTTAACCACATTATCATTTCCCTTTTCATTTACATGTATTTTTACAAGTTTAAGTAATCTTTATTTTCATATATTCAAGACCAATATTCTCACCCACAGGAATGCACCCACTGCTCTGCACTTACTTCATTCTCCAATTAAATTTTCTTAATCGATACATGTAGAATTTGGCAGCATCACATAGTCATTTTGGTACAAATGAAAAATTAAAATGTGCAGCTCACTAGTGTGCCCATATCATGATTCGCTTTGTTGTCATGAAGTTTATAGCGACGTCAGCTCCCATTGAGCATCGCAGTTTTTTAACACAGTTCTTATTTTTCATTGTTCGTTCCCATGGATATGACAAAGGCACTGGCTTTTAAAAGCATGTTGGCCATTAAATGCACTGGTCCAACCTGTTTTATATCCAAAAATTGTCCCTTAAAAGCAGTATGTGTCACCAGGCTCCAGTCCTGAACAGCTGCAGGGTTCTGTATGTCTAACAATAACATGTCTCACCTCTCTCCAGTCTTCAACAGCTCCAGGGCTTTGTTGACCTCGCCTAAGCTCAGCCTGTGTGTGATAAACTCATCAAGTTTCAGCTCTTTCTTCATGTATTTGTCCACCAGAACAGGAACATAGTCAGCTCCCTTACACCCTGTAACACACATAGTTTTTATGGTTCTGTGTGGTACTATTCATCAAAAGATACTAACAAATGAATAGTACTTGTCAGAATTTCAATGAGCCTTAATTCCACTAGAGTGAATAAAGCATCAAGTACCTCACCTCCAAAGTATGTCCCCTTGAGCGTGCGTCCCACGAGCAGCTCATCCACGTCAACATTGATTGGCCCAGCGTCAGACCAGCCCACCGCCACACAGACACCCCACGCATCCACAGTGGACTCCAGAGCCTCAGACTGCAGCACACACACAGACCACACGTCAACTCAAGGATGATCATCTCATAGATGCAGGTCACATTACTGTACAGTGTTTCCTTCCTAAACTGCCCAATATTTGTTTTGATACATTCATAACAGATTTGATCAGATCAGTTAAGCAGGGTTAGGTCTTGTTAGTACTTGGATGGGAGGCTGCCAGGAATCCCAGGTGACAGTGCGGCAGCTGTGGCTGTAGTGTAAACTGTTAAATGTAGTTAATACGATTAACTGAGATTCAGGAGCAGGACCACGCCTCAGCCGCCCTCTCCTCACCGGCGAACCACAACTCACCTCGACCACGCCTCTAATTTCCCAGAAGCCTATATGTAGCAGCCTTTCCCATCATCCCAGTTTGTCTCGGCGAACTCGACCCCACCCTCCCATCCCCTATTTTGTCTTTCAGTCATAAGACCCCTACAAGGGGGGTCCCGTTCCGGCTGGGCCAATTGTAGATTGAGACGGAGCCCCCACCCATAGTCTCAACCCAGCCATCTTTGCCTCGCTTTGTACATTATCAATAAACTACTTCGCACTATGTTGTCGTTGGCGTGGTCCTAGCTAGTGAATGTGTCCTTAAGTAAGACACTTCATCCACTTTGCACAGTATGGGTGTGGTGTGTGACCCACAGGAGGGCAGGCCCCATGGGTGAAGGTCTGGCCACCAGATGCTCGCATACGAGCCCCAAGCATGGGTCCAGGGTGGGGCCCCGGCTGCACAATACTGAGCGACATCGTCCTCTATTGTTCACTGTTCATATGGGTTTATGAAGTATGGCGTATGTGGTCAAGGGCACTTTGCCCTTTCAGGGCTGTGCAGTCCCCTGTATGTTCATTGTTTTCATAGCCAAAATTTCTAGCCTCAGGTGCCGGATTTGCCGGTTTGGGAAGCTACAAGTGATGGAAATGTTTTTCCTCCACATGGTGGCTGAGTGTTTCTTTAGAGATAGCATGAGGATATCAGTCACACAGGAAAGCTTAGAGTAGAGCCACTGCTCTGCCAGGTAAAGAGGAGGCAGCTGGGGTGGCTTGGGCCCAGGATACAGTGCAGGGACTATGCTTCTCGACTGGCCTGGGAACTTCTAAGGATCCCTAGGAGCTGGACGAAGTGACCCGCCCCCGCAAAAAATTCGAATGACTATTGTTTTTACATGCTTATGATTATATCTTGACCTAAATAAACACAATAATCTATAAAACAAAAATAATGACCGTGACAGTAGGGTTGCCCACACACTCCAGTGCATAGTCCACCCCTCCCTGGGTCTTCTCCTTCAGGACCTCCTGGATGGGCCGGGGCTTATGGTCCAGGGGGTTGATGCACTCTGTGGCCCCTAGCTCTTGGGCCAGTTTGAACTTCTTTGGATTGATATCCACGGCGATGATCTTGGAGGCGCCCGCAGCTCTACAGCCCATCACCGCAGCCAAGCCCACAGCGCCCAGGCCGAACACGGCACAGGTGGAATCCTTCTCTACCTGTAGAGGTCATGTTCAGAAGGCATCAGGACTAGAGTACATACAACATAATTTATGTTATAAGACCCAGGCCCTACAAACAAGCTAATCCATCCTAGCTTCCGAATATTTTCTCTTGTTTACTAGTTTAGTTAGTCCGGGTTTAGACTTGATTTTAGTCCTTAATTATTTAATTATGCTTTCGGGTTTAGTTTAATTCTGGGTTAGTCCAGGATCAGACCCAGTTGAAGCTAGTTCTGTTATATTCTTCACAAAAATCTAATGTAGCAGTTATTGTTATATTAATATTATTGAAGCAAATCTAGTGTTGGGGATATTTTGTGCCACCCCAAATTGTGTTAAAGCAGGCATGGTATGCAATTTTTGATATTGACTTTTCAGAGCTTTTAACTTTGTTATAGTTGTTTCCCTTTCTCCTTTTACCATCTCAAAGTTGTATTTGGGGTGATTTGTGCATGTTTGAACAATCGTTAATCGCTTATTTTCAAGACGCTATTTTGCGATCAACCCCCATTTTCAACACCTCTGCACTTTCGCCAATTATATTTTTTTAATAAGTGACATGTGTAGGATTTGCCAGCGTCATGTGGTTATTTTGGTACAAATGGAAAAAAATAAAAATAAAATCTGCAACTTGCTAGTGTGATGTGCAGCTATAAATCAGAGAAGCCAACAGCTGCGCAGCTTTTAGTTGTGATGTTTATGGAGATGTCAGTTCCCATCGGGCACTGCAGTTTTTGAACATGAATCAATGGACTGTTTTTTTTCATCAAGTTGTTTTAGATGAATAATGCAATTTAAAGTATCCAAATTGTAACAATGATCCACATGTGTCCTTATGACATTACAGTGTCACTATATAGCAGAATCAAGCACAATGTGTCTTTTAGGTGGCTGGGCGCTCCCTTAGAGATAGGCTGAGCTCAGTCACATGGGAGGAGCTTGGAGTAGAGCCACTGCTCCTCCATGTCAAGAGTAGCCAGCTGAGGTGCCGGATGCCTCGTGGGCGCCTCCCTGAGAAGGTGTTTCGGGCATGTCCCACCCACCGGGAGGAGGCCCCGGGGAAGACCCAGGACACACTGGAGGGTCTATGTCTCTCGGCTGGCCTGTGAATGCCTTGGGGTCCCCCCGGAGGAAGTGGAGGAGCTGAAGTGTCTAGGGTGAAAGAGGTCTGGGAGTCCCTGCTTAGACTGCTGTCCCTGTGACCTGGTCCCAGATAAGTGGGGAAAAAAATGGATGAATGAATGGACGGACATTTATAATGTTTAATATCTCCTCTTTAAGCACTGTATGATTTCAAACCATTGTATATGTTTTAGTCTATTTTTGGCTAAAAAGTTACATACTGTGGCTTTAAGTGTTTAACTCACAAGTTTATGACAAATTAACACGTACTGCCTGGATCATCATGATTTATTGCTTTATGAATATTTTGAGCAATGAGGACTCAGGAGTTATCTCGCTGGTGGTATATTTCTGTGTACTCTTCCTCACCTGTGCAGTCTTACATGCTGCCCCGTACCCGGTGGACACCCCACAGCCCAGCAGGTACACTTTGTCCAGGGGAGCATCCTGGTGGATCTTAGCCACAGAAATATCAGCCACCACAGTGTACTGGGACAGAGTAGACACGCCCATGAACTGGCGCACCTGCTGATCATTCCACGACACACGGCTGGTCCCATCTGCCATCATGCCCATCATATTGGTCTTCCTGCAAATGAAATAATATATTGAGTAGTGTGTATGGCTGTAGTGCCTTAAAGCAGACCTTTTACAGCTTTTATCAGGTTATAGTGTTCTCCCCTCACCATTTACTCATCTGAAAGTATTTGAAGAGGTTTGTGCATGTCAATCATTAATTGCTTATTTTCAAGACCTCATTTTGCCCACTGCTCTGTACTTACTTCGTTCTCCAATCTTATTTTCTTAATTTGAGATACATGTAGGATTTGGCAGGTGGCAGTCATTTTGGTACGAATGAAATTAAACCTGCAGCGGGAGTTACCAACATTTTGTTGTCATGATTCATTATTATTATTATTTAAGATTAATATTGCAATTTAAAAATGTGCCATTTATAACAAAGATCCACAAGCCAAAAAGGGGGAAGCAACAATAGCATGATTAATAAGATCTGCTTTCTCAGAACATGAGCACTCATACTTTGCTGCTTTAAATGAAGCACTCAGCACTTATATTTTATATTGTATATTTTATATGAATATTTAGTGATATATTACTTGACATATTGCTATTGACTTTTATACTGACTTAAGCGGTTCTGCCAAAGAGAATCTCGTTTTTATGTGTGCATATTTTAAATTTATGAACATAAACAGACATCAGTGTCATTAAAAAAAGTCAAAGTTACTTCAAAGTCCAGGCTGACAGGACTGGCTGTAGACTTCTCCATTAAAAAGACCCCAAAATAAAATTCATATGCATATACATTTTTAGCTTAGGTAAAAAAAATAATACAAACAAGTTTGATTTTATATTAATTCAAATACACCCAGTCATGCTAAAAGCAGATGTATCCAATAGGGAAACTCCCATGAATGAAACAAAACACAACTCAGAATGTATAACAACAGCCAAAAGAGGAAATGACATTAACGTGATCAAGGCTGTTTGTAGGCGTTTTAAAATCATGTGTCTCAGTTAGCCTAGGAAAAAAAAAACTTGAACTGAGATTCCAGGACGATTAGGTGTGCATTTCGTGACATGTAATGCAAACAAACTCAAACAGCAAACAGTGCAAGCGTGTCTACACATGCATAACACATGTAAGTGGCCTGTCAACTGGGGGACCAGGTTTTCAGAATTCAAAACTGGGACTTACCCGGGTTGGGATGGTTGGTATAAATAAAACTGAAACAGAAAGTTCCTAACAGTCCATTCTTGACTCACTTGTGGGGCAGCAAACAATCGGAGGGACATCTACTGGTGTAACTGGCATTTTTTTTTTTTTTTTTTTTTTTTTGCCTTCTGGCAATTTTCAAGCACAGTTTTCTGTATTTTAGCTAAACAACTGACAACATGAGAGAGATACTTTATTGATCCTGAGGGAAATTCAAGTTTTGCTGCAGCAAAATTTTCACTGCGCTTCTCAGTGGTCTTTGTGTCTCAGTGCAGTTTAACAAGACTGGTAAGCAGCAGTGGCGGATGGTGGTATAATTTTTTAGGTGGTGCCTAGGCCAAAATTACACATATATATTATATATGAGTTATATATGTATAGTCCCTGACAAAAGTCTTGTCGCTTATCCATTTTGTAGAAACAAAAGCTTATAACCTCCCTTTAAATTAATCAATTGGTTTTAGAAATGTCTCATATGAAAGCTAAAACCCTCCCAAATTATGCTCAATATACTAAAATAAATTTGCTTCACTGAAGAAAGATTGATCATTTAATGAACACAGAAAGGTCAGATTTTGGCAAGACAAAAAGTCTTGTCGTCTTGTCATATGATGCACCCAATCCTAGATTAGAGCCTCACCTGTGATCAGTTACTGATCAATCAATTAGTGGGTGTGTATAAAAAGAACCGCAGCACACCAGACCTTCACATCAACTGCAACTTGACCTCTGACAACATGCCTAAGATCCACCCTGAGACCAAAGCGTTAATTATCAAGAGGCTGAAGACCAGATCCACTGCTGAGGCGGTGACACCTTCAATGTGTCTCAGCGTCAAGTACAAAGAATAAGAAAAAGATCTGAAATGACTGGAGATGTTTTTGACAAGCCCAGGTCCGGCAGACCCCGCAAAGACAACTGCTCGGGAGGACCGTTTGTTGATTCAAAAATCCAAGGCCAGCCCCTTTTCCACTGCAGCAGACTCCACCAGGCCTGGTCACCTCAAGTCCCTGTGTCAACCAGAACAGTTTGTAGAATTCTGTTTCGAAATGGCCTCCATGGTCGAATCAGTGCACAGAAACCAGTACTAAACAAAAGGCAATTAAAAAACCGTGTGGCATTTGCCAAGGCCCACAGCCTGCTAAAAGGATGGACACTGGAAAAGTGGCAGAAGGTGGATTTCTCAGATGAATCCTCGGTTGAATTACATCACAGCCACCGCAAATATTGCAGGAGACCTACTGGAGCCCGCATGGATCCAAGATTCATCCAGAAAACAGTTAAGTTTGGTGGTGGAAAAATCCTGGTCTGGGGTTCCATCCAGTATGGGGGTGTGCGAGACATTTGCAGGGTGGAAGGCAAATATCAATAGCCTAAAATATCAAGACATATTAGCTACCTCTTACATTCCCAACCATAAAAGGGGTCAAATTTTGCAGCAGGATGGTGCTCCATCACATACTTCTATCTCTACATCAAAGTTTATCAAGGCGAAGAAGATCAAGGTGCTCCAGGACTGGCCAGCCCAGTCACCAGACATGAACATCATTGAGCATGTCTGGGGTAGAATGAAAGAGGAAGCATGGAAGACAAAACCAAAGAATCTTGATGAACTCTGGGAGGCATGTAAGACTGCTTTCTTTGCTCTTCCTGATGAACAACAACAACCTTCATCAACAAATTGTATGAATCATTGTTGAACCACATGGATACAGTCCTTCAAGCTCATGGAAGTCATACAAGATATTAAATATGGATCTCACAGCACCACTACTTAATTCACTGACGTTATGCAACATATTTTTGTATTTGAAGTAAATTATTTGTTCAATTTTCTGTAGGCGACAAAACTTTTGTCTTGCCAAAATCTGACCTTTCTGTGTTCATTAAATGATCAATCTTTCTTCAGTAAAGCAAATTTATTTTAGTATATTGAGCATAATTTGGGAGGGTTTTAGCTTTCATATGAGACATTTCTAAAACCAATCGATTAATTTAAAGTCAGGTTATAAGCTTTTGTTTCTACAAAATGGATAAGCGACAAGACTTTTGTCAGGGACTGTATAGTATTGTAGCCCACAGGCTGTATTATCTGTATAATAACGAACGCCAGAGGCAGACAGTCATTCTAGTCACTATTAAGGATTTGCGTGTCACATGGCAGTCACTTGACTTAATATTTTGGCAACCATACTGGAGGACAAGGTTGGGGTTTATTGTTTATTGTTTATTGTTATTCAACACAACTGTCGAAATTGCCAGCTCATTAGAGCAGCCGTTATTAGAAAGATATAATCCTAAAGTCGTCCTTCTGGGTTGTGGAATAGATCCCAAATTCTGACGCTAGCTCTGTGCCCAACCTCCAATATCCAGATATTTATGACTACTTGCTACTACTAACTATTCTACACCATCCTAAACCACCCAAGAACTGAAAAGGTACAGGGGGGATAGAGACTTCCGTGCCGGCAAAAGTGAGGACCGGGGCAGGTGGGATTCCATGCCAGTGAAAGTGAAAAACCCACAGCGCATCCTTATTTTATCGCACACAAATATTACACATTGGTTCAGATAGTTTGACCTCCAATATGGCGGCACAAACAACAGGTCACGTGCTTTTGTGACGTAGATGCAAAACCTTAATTGGCTGAACTATATCTTGAATGAATAATTAAAAATAATGGTCTTATATTTCATCAGTTCCCTGTCCTACGCTTGCATTGTGTGTGGTTTTCACAATAGGAACACAACGCACAGCCAAACGCAAAGTTTACGCAGCAGCACAACCTGATCCACCCCTCACAACCAGTCCCAAGAACATCAACGTCATCAATAAGAACACATGGCATCAGTGCTGCTCCTACAACACACACAGCAAAACACCGGAGCAGCTCATTTAAATTTTTTGTATCAAGTGTAATGGGAAAATACCGTTATTTCTTCTACGTGCATTTATTCAGTTTTCATTGTGTGCTTCTTATATCCTGTTTTGAAGAGAGCTGCTCTCCTCATATTCTCCTCTGCCTCTCTTTGCAAAGACATTTAATAAACTTATTTTGTTGCTTCCACAGATGTTTATTATTTAAAAGATAATTTTCCACAGCAAAAGCAAAATAAGTGCTGTTTCCCTATAAAGAACCGTTCAAAAGAGCTGACTGATTCACAACCCTCACTGGACTGACTCATGAGATGAAATAGTATTCTGTGACTCACATGAAGAGCAGTGCTGTGTCAGTGTGAACACACACTCATGACACAGCGTGCTCTCTGTGTGCTGTCTGAGTCACAACTTTAACTTTATTTATACAGGGAATGCCCCATGAGAGTACAGATTCTCTATTTCATGAGAGCAGTGCAAAAAAAAAAACAACAACAAATAACTGCATAAGTCTATTTAAACATTAACGGACCTATATGATGCCATTTTCTGATCTATCTTATTATTATTACTATCTTATTTCTCAAACAGAAAACACTCTGTTCTACCTTGTGATGTCATGTGGTAATACAGGAAGTGCGCCAATGTTTTGGCGGAGACAGATATTCAAAAAACATATTAAATGAGCAGAAGAACAGAAAAGGTCCACAGATAGTAGAGATAGATCATTATATCAGCTGGCCAATATATTAGGCCCATTTGGTCTTTTTACCACATCAGCTATTTGTCTTAAATCTCCAGCACAGGAATATTTTGTTATGGTCTATTGGCTGCCTAAGCGAAGCATTTTCAAAACAATAAAAATTAACTTGCAGCAAAGTGCGGCCAGGGGTACAGGGGTTAGTAAGAACATTTTAAGAACAAAATGACGAGATTCACTGCAGCAGTCACAGAGAGAGGGGCCCACAATATTCCAATGTCAGTCAATGGGAGATAGCCATGTCCATTTATATCTATATACAGTCTATGTTGCAGATATATTCTTTCCCTTTCATGTATGAACAATATAATTTATTAGAGCTAATACTTTTATTAGTAAACCTGATTATTGTAAAAAAAAATATAAGCAGCTTAGTACCCATCAACATTTTTGAGCCTCCTGCACGTTGCCTCACTGCTATAAACCTCACCACATGTCACTGGTAACATGATCTGATCTAAATATGTTGTGTTAGTAGTTAGCACCACATAGAAGTAAAATAGCCCTGTTTGTTTTGCCAAATGAATTGAATAGCCTCCCCTCCAGAATCCCTGTATAGAGTACGCACCAGTTCTTCCTGCACTGGTTGGTCCTGGGGCTCTTGCACCTCTCACACTCTCTACACTGAGGCAGGTACAGAGGGATCACTTTGTCTCCTGAAGTAAAAGAAAAAACACAACTGAATAGCACTATCAGCTTCAGAAATGATTTAAAGACTTGTTTTAAATCATCATTAAAGATCGATGTTTTTTAAATCTACATGGGTTGGTCCCTCTATGTCTCTCTGAGCTTCTGTCTGTCCATGTTCCCAGAGCTTTGAGATCAGCAGACCAGATGATTTTAGATGATCCAAGCTCCTGACTCAAACCTCGAGGGGACGGGGCTTTTTGCTGTATTCCTCTGGATACCAGAGCAGCCCAACCTTTAAATAACCTTTAATACCAGACAGAAGTAAAATACCCCCTCTTTAAATGTTGTTTCTCCTCACATAAACGCAAACTCTGATATGATACAGTTCTTTATAGAAATCCAAACGATCTATTACCTGGGCTGACGTTGGTCACCCCGGGGCCCACACTCTCCACCACCCCGGCCCCCTCGTGTCCCAGGATCAAGGGGAAAGGCCGCGTCGACGCGCCTTTCCCCGTACCATACAGGTAGGTCAGGTCTGTGTGGCACACTCCACTGTACAGCATCTGAACACAAGAGCAAAGAAAATTAAGTAAACGAAATGTGAAAGAGAATGTAGTCCTAATTTGCCTGCAAGATATAACTGCTAACACATCACATATTTAGATCACCATGTTACTTTTTATTGTTTTGAAAATGCTATATTCACCAAAAACATGTTCAATTTAGTTTTTTGATGCTCCAAGTCTCCCCTCCCTTTTCTCTGTGTTAAGTCACTCCCCCTTCAGAGCACTATCACAACACAAATATTGCATCAGGATTCTCAAGTTGCTGTGTGCAGTTCTGTATCATGTTTCTGTATGTTTATAGAAAATTGTCATATGGGAGCATGGGTGACATAGGCTTGTTGGAGACACACTGCACAAATCTTGCAGCTAAGCATAAAAAAGTCTGAATAGGAGCCCTTAGAGATCACTTGATTACTCAAACTTGCATGGATGATCTCTAAAACCTCTTCAGGTGGGAATCAGCTAGAATGTCCCCCGGCTGGAAAGTCCCCCTGAACTGTACCCTTTATTAAAATGTGTTAATCTATAAACATATTAAAAACAAACAAAAACATGCAGTTAAGACCTTCCTAGTGAATGATTCTGAATGATTTTTGAACAAATTCGGTAGCTTTAAGTTTCTTATGTTGTGCTGCTTACAAATTATGTTCTTGGCAGGTTAGGAAATAATCAACAGTTACAGATATATGGAGTACGAAAGCTTTCTGAAATCTTTGTGTGCATAGGATAGAAATCTGCATATTTGAGCATAAAATTAATATTTGTAAACTCTTGAATGAGTCCAGTCGTACATAAAAAGTGTTGTGTGTATTTTATCCATCAGAATACGATTTGAAAATTTACAACATCAAGAATTACAATCATGAAATGAAAATTTATGATTACACTTTCTTCAGTAGGAATATGAATTCACAGACACAACTCGACTGTCAAAAAAATCCAACTTTTGCACAGAATATGGACTGAACCAGGACTGAATCAGGCCTAAATGACTAAACGAAAGTGTAATCGTACATTTTAATTTCGTGATTGTAACTCCTGATGTGTGTATTTAGTCCATTAGAATACAAATTGAAAAGTTACAACAATAGATTATATATACGACTGGACTCATTCGAGAGTTTACAAATATTTACTTCATGCTCAACTACAGCCAAATACGCACAGGTGTCCCAAATATGCACGCATTTCTATCCTATACACACAAAAGAAGCTTTCTTACTCCATACAGATGCTATAGGACATGGGGAACAAGAAAAAATATTTAAAATATGATTTCATACTAAACTTCTGCGAGCAAATGAGGATTATATTGATATTACAGACTGAAAAAATTTGCACCACTTCGGGAAGATCGGTAAAATTACATAAAATCTGGTCTCGCTACATTCACATTTCATTTTCTTATGATATAGAATGCTGATTTTCTAACTCCATACATCACATACTAAAGGCCAGCGAGAACATCCCCCCTCTTTCGGGCACAGCAGGTACCCACATGCTGCCCAAGAGAAGGGGGCGCCCGTAGGGAGGAGAGGGACATTCCCGCCAAGAGAATGGGACACTCGCGCTGAGACTTTCAAGCCAGGGGGACGCTTAAGCCGGCATTTCTTTAAGCACGGTTTTGTTGAGGGAACAGTATGGTTCTTTATGGTAAAATCTAAACAATACCCGCAGATAGTACTAGTATTCATTTTCTCCTCTAAAAGTAACACTTAAGTATCTAATTTTCTGAAGGCGGCACAACACCTGCATGATTCCATGGAAATGAAATACTGTGGAATATTACAGCCAAAGGAATAAAATATCTATGGAAACAAGCAGGAAGAGACACTCCTGTAGGTCAAATAAGAGTCAGGTTTGTGGAGATGCAGGCCCACCCATCTACCCACAGTAAGGACTTGTGTTTTCTCAGTTTTTCCACTGCAATAAACACACCCAAAATGAGAAAACATGCCTTTATTTGGTAGTTTGCAGTGTGTCTGGCCAAAATAAATAAACACTGTGGCTTTAAGTCAAAAGTACTGACACATAGACAGCCTTTCTGCCCTGTCCAGTAATCAAACTTTGGACTGTTGTTAAGAGAGAAGGCCAACTACTACCACCGTGGCTCCAGTAATGAGAATAATAAGAAGCAGCACAAGGTGTAAACCATGTTATTCAGTACAGTTCTCCTCTAAAAATAATTTCACCTTCACCCACTCAGCTCAGAAACCTCAGATTCAACCCCGCCATCTCCTTCAGGCCACATGTCCGCCACATCACCAAGGCTTCTTTCTTCCACCTCCATAACATCGCCTGCCCTGACTCCTGCAATGACCTTCAAAAAATACATCATATACAACTGTGCCGCCCGCCCCCTCAACCACACCTGCCCATGAGACGACATCCTTCGACAACTCCACTGGCTTCACATCCAACAGCAAAACTTATCTTTATGTTATTAGGTTCTTTTTACAAACCAAGAGCTTATTTTCATACCTGACAGTTTTGACTGCTCACTAGCGGTCTTCTTCAGAGTGGTCACGTGATGTTGCTGTGATGTGTCGGTCAGCTGATTTAAACACGTCACAGCAACATCGCGTGACCACTCTGAAGAAGAGCGCTAGTGAGCAGTCAAAACTGTCAGGTATGAAAACAAACTCTTGGTCTGTAAAAAGAACCTAATAACATAAAATATCGGAAGACCAAATGAATCTCATTGGACTGGACCATGGATCGAGATGAATATAGATACATCGTATTGTTTAATGTGATCATACAGTATCGATATCAGGGGTAACAGTACTTTTTGGTATATTTTACCAAATTATTTTGTTACAGTGCTACAGTTTTGCTGCTTGTTTAGTGTGAGGAAAGACATTTATGCAACTCATTCAACATTTTCACAGTTTTGATGATTAAAATGTTTGTGTTTCATATAAACTTTGCACAAGAAGTGGTTTAACAAATTCTTTTAGTATCACATGACATACTACTATTTCAATTGTGACATATTGTGACATATGTCTCACCAGTGTTGGGGAGTAACGGATTACATGTACCGCCGTTACGTAATCAGAGTACAAATTATGAGTAACTGTATTCCGTTACAGTTACTGTTTCAATGAGTGGTAATTGGATTACAGTTACTTTGCTGAAATAAGTGGATTACAAGGCGGTATTTTCCTGTTTTCACATTTTGTGCTACCTCGCATTTATTTATTTTTTTATTTCGGTAATTCCACTCATTGCCTGAAGCCCAAACAGAACGCGACAGTAAGAGCGATGGAAACGTCATGTTAAAGTTGGCGGCGTCAGTCACACAGTGGAAGCAGCAGTGCATTGGTAAAAACGCATTTGTGTCTTGGAAATTCTTCTCCCGATGTGAGATATATATATAAAAAAAACAAATATAAAATCGCCTACAACTTAAATGTGAAACCGGAGCTACTGGCACTGGTGAAAACAACCTGCATAGACTCATAATATCTGCACCACTGTCCTATAGTGACCTGCGACATGAGGGGACACATACACACAAACACACACAAACACACACAAACACACAAACACCTTCATCATCGTCATCAACCTGAGAACCCGCGGACCACGTCTCCTTCCGTAGTTACAGCGCGGACACCGCCGTCTCGTGAGCCGCGTGTGGACCGTGTTTTCTCGCGTAAACCGCACTTCCTCCTGTGCGCCTCTAAACCAGAACTAACACCAGGACTAAACCAGGACTAACACCAGGACTAAACCAGGACTAAAGCAAGACTGAACCAGGTTTAAACTAGGACTAAACCACGACTAAACCAGAACTAAAGACCTGGTCTAGACCAGGTCTAAAAATCAGGACTAAACCAGGACTAAACCAGGACTAAACCAGGTCTAAACAACATGACACCTAACAGTAGGTTGACATAATTTAAGGTGATCTCATATAATTTCTCTATCAATAATATTTTTTAATCTGGTGAAGGAAAGGCTGATTTTGTTACTGTCTTTTAACAGACAAAACCTCGTGGTCTTTGTTTCTCAACAGCAAACAGTTGCTTATTCATGGTGACTTGGGCTCAGACAAATTGAAGACAACAAACACGAATTTTGAGGATGTGGTTGCTACATTCATGTCGTTTAACAAAACATGACAAAATCAAGTAATCCAAAGTAATCAGATTACGTTACTCACTTTAAGTAATTTAATGGATTACGTTACAAATTACATTTTGGGGTGTGTAATCTGTAATCTGTAGGGGATTACATTCTAAAAGTAACCTTCCCAACACTGTGTCTCACCACTCTTGCTTTATAAACCTCCTTTGGAAGCATATAGTGAAGGGTCTTGAACACTCAAAGATCATATTATGTTCAGTGTTGAAATCATGCAATGTTGACTTAAATGAACTTGCTCCTCCCTTTCTTGAACAAGCTGAAAACTTCAACAAATAGCATACATAGTTTTCTGTATTTTGGCAAAGCAAATGACAGTTTATGCTCATCTTTACTGTTGGCAGGGATCAGATTAGTCAAAAGATTGTGATAGTTCTGTTTTAGTCCTAGTTTAGACCTGATGTAGTCCTGGTTTAGATCAAATTGGTCAAAAAAAGGGACACCTGGGAAATTTTTTGATAAAACTGGAACAAATCACTGGGTTTGTATAAATCTGCTGAGAGAGGGGACACAGGGCTCAAAACTGGAACTGGATCTACAAATGTTTCTCTTTAGCTGTGCACTGACCTCCTCAGTTTTACATTTAAATTACTTTAGTTTTTCTTACCAGTACCCTAATTACTGTATTAGCTTTTGCTGCTTGTTTAGTGGAAAGAAACTCGTTAATGTGACACATTTGACATTTTCACTGTTTTGATGATTCGAATGTTTGTGTTTCACATGAACTTTGCACAAGAAGTGGTTTAACAAATTCTTTTAGTATCACAGCCATGATTTAGCCATTATTTTTTGTTGAACCGTATCGAATAGTTTTGAAATGTATCATATCGATCCGTAAGTGCACTGAATTGTATCGTGGCCTATGTATCGAGGTACGTATCGTATTGGCAACTTCTTTATAATACACAGTTCTATCATCGCGTGTCATCACACTACTAAAATTTCAAACTGTATTTCGACACTAAGGAGTAGACTCAATACTCCACACTGATTCCAATACCACACTGATAATTAGAAAAGACTCTTTATTTAGACAGTAGAATTAGATTTTCAAGTTTCAGCAATAAATTGACCATGGATCGAGAGGTACCAGAAGCTCACCAAGGGAGTTCTTAAATATATGTATAAAATTTATATTAAAATTAGATTAATTACCATTGTATCATTTTGACTGACTTTATCACTAATAAATAGATAATGGTTTATGTTTGTTATGTTATGCATCTAACTGTTCCCCATTAAAGGCTTGCCATTCTTACAACCATTAACATCAGTAACTCTCTGGGATTTTTGTTTTGTAAAAGTACCTTACTGTAAAAAGCAAGGTTGGAGACTCCCGTCATAAACACCAATGCCCACAAATGACTGTTTCATGACTTGTTGTCTTTGGTTTGTGTTACAGAGGAAGTGAAAATACATGTGCCCTTTCAAATGTAGTCTAAGTGGTGCATAGTTGGAAGCCTGTGTTCAAAGTCTAGCTCACTGAGGATTAATATTATTAGTATTGCCTATTCTGTGCTTGTGTCCACGTCTCTCCATGGCCTAGCACCAAAGTACATCTCTGACATGTTAGTGCCATTTGAACCATATGCACTACACATGGAGTCAGTGTTCCCATTTTACACAGATAAAATCTTAAACAGTCTACCTGCAGATGTGAGACAGGCCTCTGCTCTCACTTTATTTAAATCAAGGCTCAAAATTCAAAATTGGGACACACCCGGGCTGGGATGTTTGGTATAAATAAAACAGTGAAAAGAGTGTAACATTCTGCATTCTCATGTCAGTCATAATCAGAGGGGCTTCTGTTCCTGCATTTTTTTTATTTTATTTTTTTGCTTTATGGTCACTAGTGTAAGAGAATTTAAGTAATTTATCCTCCAGGTACATCTCTCAGTTTAACATGGACTCACAAAAGTTATATTTACACCATGATCTTCCCTTGGCACACCATTGGCATACCACTATTTCAATTGTGGCATATTGCCGTCTCACCACACACTTTCTTTCTAAACCTCCTCCTTTGGAAGCATAGTAAAGGGTCTTGAACACTCAAAAGATTACACTATGTTCACCTTATTAAGCAAAAGATGTTCATTTTGTCTTCTTATATACTTTAACTTCTTGGGTTCTTTTTAAAGACAATGCAGTAAAATGTGTTTACCTTGTTGACATGTTTCGGCTGCTAGCTGCAAGCCATCTTCAGAACTGTCACCGGTGTTGGTGGTGACGTGTCGTATATCAGCTGTTGTTACTTCCTGTAGGCTTGTGGTCAGCCTGATGGACCTGGCAGGCCGCTCAGACTGACCACGCCTCCCGTTGCCCGGTGTTCTCTGGAGGAGGGTGTCCCAGGTGTGTGAAAGGAGGAACGCGCCGTCATCACGGTTAATGCTGTCCGTGCCTCGTTTCCTGATTTCAATGGCCTCCTTGATCCAGCGTTTGAACTTGTTGTTTTCCGATCCAATGACCCGAGCCCCGTCCCAATCCATAATGTGGTTGTTCCTTTTACAGTGGTCTGATATGGCGGATTTTAGGTTTTCCTGTTCTGCTTTGTCTTTTTGTGTTCTGGTGAGTCTCCCTGACGTTTCCTTCTCGCATTCCTTTTGGTGTTCCTTTTTTTGGATGTGAAATGCCCGGCCTGTTTCTCCTATGTATGATTTATTGCATGATTTGCATTGAATTTCATAGATGGCATTGCATTTTTGTTCTTGTGGGATTTTGTCCTTGGGGTGTACGAGCTGTTGACGGAGTTTTGTGTATGGTTTTACTACAGTGCTGGGATATTGACATTGTCAATACGCGCTCGCACCCAAAAGACAGAGGACGATGCAAACCATCGCACAAAAAGTTGGACTTCTGGACACGTTGAAGGAAGGTAGAAGTTACGCGCTGTAGCAGAGTTTTGCACCGGGTCTTGTACCCGCAAATAGTTGCTGAAATCAGGACCATGAGCCCGCGCAGCAGGGTGACAGCCGCTCTTACCTCCATGAGGTGCGGAGCAAAGCCGGTCCTTTCTCCTGCGGTCTGCTTCGAGCCCGTCCCGACAGTGAGTCCTGTTTTAGTCCTAGTTCAGTTCTGGTTTAGTCCTCCTCTTCAGTCCTGGAATCAGTCTGAGGTTAGTCCTGTTATAGTCCTGGTTTAGTCCTGGTTCAGTTCTGGTTTAGACCTTATTTAGTCCTGGTTCAGTCCATATACGGCTCAAAGGTTCAGCTTTTTCGCAGTTATTTTGGTGAGAGTAACTTAAAGTAATGCAATAGTAATGTAATGCCTTACATTTTAAATGCAGTAATATTGTAATGTAACGAATTACTTTGAAATGACAGTAATAAGTAATAAATAACGCATTACAGTTTTAAAGTAACTTGCCCAACAGTGATCACCAACACCGGTGACAGTTCTGAAGATGGCTTGCAGCTAGCAGCCGAAACATGTCAACAAGGTAAACACACTTTACTGCATCGTCTTTAAAAAGAACCCAAGAAGTTACACTATGTTCACCTTTGAAATCATATTATGTTGACTTAAATAAACTTCTCCTGCTCCTCCCTTTCTTGGACAAGCTGAAAACTTCTACAACAAATAGCACGCATGGTTTTCTATATTTTGGCTAAACAAACAAAATTTATGCTCCTCTTTACTGTTGGTGAGGATCATTAGTCAAAAATTGTGATGGTCCTGTTTTAGTCCTGGTTTAGTCTTAGTTTAGTCCTGGTTTAGATCAAACTGGTCAAAAATAGGGACAGCTGGGAAATTTCTTGATAAAACTGGAACAAATCACTGGTTTTGTATAAATCTTCAGGGACTTAAACCTGGGACTATCCCTACTCAAAAAACGGTTCTCTTTAGCTGCGCAATGACCTCCTCAATTAGGCTACTGGTAAGAAAACTAAAGTAAATTAAATGTAAAATTTACTTTAGTTTTTCTTACCAGTAGCCTAATTATTGTATTAACTTTTATTCCGTAGGCACTAGTTTGAATGAGTTGCACAGACCTTGATGCGCACTTCGTGAGCTTTGGGCGGATCCACCTGCACATCCTCTACGACCAGAGCTGTGCCTGCGCCCCACGCCACCGCTGCTTTGCATGTGATCACCTGTAAAGACAAAGACAGCCATGTTTAACACATATGAACACGATAAAGATAAGTCACAACAAGATAAGCGCGCGCTGGGCATATGGCACAATTACGCACGAATATTACGCAGAACAACAGCCAAGTTTCAAAATAAAGAGATACCGAGTGACAAAACTATTAATTATTCAGACGTACTTTGCCTTCTGTTGACATGTTTACAGAGCCCTGCGTCGTAACAGGCTCAACAGGCTCATGATGGCTTTTATAAACGTGCTGGGGCTTGTCCTTATTTGGGGCGGAGTCCAATAAACTACGTCCACGCGCGAGTTGCGACAGTGCCAGTCTGCAGCGCGTCACTTACCCTTCCTTTTACGGCACAGGCGAAGCTCACATGTGCTTCTCCTCTCGACTCGTGGTGCTGAGAACCGTAAATATCTCCCTTTAGCGGTTCGTTCACGGTAAGTTTTGCGTGTTCAACCGTGAGTACCGCCGATATAAGGCAGCATACACGCGCGGTTATGATCATTTATGTCATCGTTTTGTTATGATTGTGGAAATGTGTTGATTATGCAGCTGAAAGGGCTGAATTGTGTTAGCATGTTGATAGTAGCAGGGTGCAGAGCTCATGCAGACTGTACCTTAGAAAGTTATCTCTTTGGGGAATGATTTTTACTTTGTTTTTAGTACATTTTAAAATTGTTAAAATGTGTACTGAATCTGGAGAAGCTGACAGGAGTTTTCATTGTGAAGTTAAATAAAGTTTATAGCTTGAAAACTTACAAGAAACCAGTTCACTTACTAAAGATCTGAAACGGTTACAAATTATCAATGTAATTATCAATTCCTATAATCAGACTGCTTAAAATGGACTGAAATTTAAAGCACTCAAAGGACTCAGATTTCACATTGAGAGAAAATATTTTGATTTTAAAAGGTAGGAACTTTTTTGAAGTATTTGTTAAAACATATATAAATAAATTAAAGGATGGATGACTCATTTCTGTTAAAGGTGTCAATCTATGCATGATAATCCAATCAAAACATTGACAGTTATTGTATTAGGAGAACCTCCATATAGGTGTGTTGTTTTGTTTTGTTTTGTTTGTTTTTTTTATAGTTTTTAAGGGATAAATTAAGTCATCTACTTCCACACACTTCACATTGAATTTAAAAGAACTAATTGTAAATACATTAATAATTATTTTAGTTAATTGTTGTTTTGTTTTGTTTTGTACTTGGGTTTTGCAGCCTCCAACTACACTTTGATGGCAAGTGTATTCATAATAACTAATAAGATTAATTTATGTTCAGCTGGATGTAAAGTTTTTGTTCATTTCATCACGTGTCATCACAAATACTAAAATTTCAATCTATTTCAATTAGGAGACTGCAAAAATATTGAAATATTGATATTTCGTATTGTTTAATGTGATGATACAATATCGTGGGCTGCTGTATCGATATATCGCCAACAGTATATTTTACTAAATTATTTTGTGACAGAGCTACAGTTTTGTTGATTGTTTAGAGGAAGGAAACTCCTTTATGCAACACATTTGACATTTTCACAGTTGATGATTTAAAATGTTTGTGTTTCATATGAACTTTTCACAAGAAGTGGTTTAATTAAGACTTTTAGTATCACAGCCATGACTTGGCCATTATTTTTTACTGAACCATATCAAATCCTTTTGAAATATATCATATTGAATCGTATCGAATCGAAAGCACACTGTATCGGGATATGTATCATCATGGCTTATGTATCAAGGTGTGTATCATATCGGCAACTTCAGAATGACACGCAGCCTTAATTTCCATACTAAAGAACAAACTCCATACTCCATACTGATTCCAGTACCACAATGATAATTAGAAAGCACAATAGAATCTGATTTTCAACAATAAATTGTAGAACTTATAATAAACTTTCTTTTATATTCCCATGTGTCCTTATATCTGTGTAATCCTTCAGTGGTCTACGTAGTTTCCATAGTGGGCTTATACGAGTCTCTGTGCTCTTATACTTGTTCTGATACAGCTCAAGATCATTCTAAAACTACTCAGCAAAGGTTAATTTTTAAGTTTCGAAATCTGCTCAAATGAGCATCTAGTTTTGATAGTAGTCTTAGTATTAATGATTTAGTAACTGATTTTTGATACTTTTCACAACCCTAATTTATATTACTGTTTTCTATTCCTATTCGTGTGTGTTTGGTGCCATTTTGTGAAACTGTTAAATCTGTCATTAAATTGTCGATGTCATTGTTTTGAGTTGGCCTCTCAAAGTTGTTTCATCTCTTGCACAGGGCACAGCAGACATGTCGTTCCGAGGAGGAGGACGAGGAGGCTTTAACAGAGGCGGAGGAGGAAGAGGAGGCGGAGGGCGAGGAGGAGGTGGAGGCTGGGGAGGTGGAGGGGGTCGTGGGGGAGGCTTTGGCCGAGGCGGCGGCAGAGGGGGCTTCAACAGACAACAGGACTTCGGGCCCCCAGAACATGTCGTAGGTGAGATGAACCACTGGAATAAAGATGATTGTTTTAATTAGTTCATGCAAAGTTTGATTTCTTTGTAATGAAATGTGCAGTTGTACAAGATCATACAGATTTAAAGTGATTGGAGCAGAACACCAATACGAAGAATCAGTGGTAAAACTTGCCAAATTTCCATAGAGATACATTAGCGTAAACACTAACAATACTCAAACCTAAACTAATACTTTTACAGGCACGTTTTAGCACATTGCTGAAGAGTTGCATAGATCTGAATAGGGCTGTAGTCCTTTAGTCGTTTAGTCCATTAATCGGTTGTTCGCGTCTTAGTTCTAATGGTTGACTAATTGTTTTATTTAGATTATAGGGAATTATGTGAAACTACAATTGTAATCAAAAATGCAGTTTTCTTGTACTTTTTTCTGCATATATTTTTCATAAACTCACCTGTAGTTAGGGCTGTCACTGTTCAAGAATTTCTCTCGTGGTAACTTTATATGACGCTGCACCAGATAAAAAATATTTATGTAAAATCACAGCTAAGCCTAAGTGACGGACACGTTCATGTGCAATATAGTTCTACAGACGGGTACAAGACTATATTATTAGGAATTAGGAGTGAATAAGACGTAAAGCTTGGTATGCCTGTACGCACTGTGCGTGCCTTGAATGTCCCCACTGAATCTAAATGGATGTCCCAAGTTTGGCATGGAGGAGTGTCAGTGATTATTGACCAAACTGTTCACCAAACCTGTTCTTTCTGACACTGCGCTTGTCAACCTGTAACAGTTAACGGTTAACCAGCAGTTAAGCAACAGACAAAAAAAAGGTGCATGGTGTCCTGTGCGCACTGAGCAGACACATTATGAATAGTTTTATAGCTACTCATTTAAAATACACAAGTGATGCTTCAGTGTGAACAGGGTAGGTTACGAATCACACACACGAACACAGTGCAAAGACAAAGCTCCTCATCTGGACAGAGACATCCTGAGCACGTACACGCTGTGCCAGGTGCTCCTCGCTCGATGATCCGGGTGCTTTAATCCCAAACTGAAATAAAAGCTTCTATGTGCGGTATATGAGTGCATAGGCCATTTCAAACAGGTCCTAAACAGTGCATTTATGTGTAAATACTAAAACGAAGGGTGACTTTAACACATTACACAAACAAAACTGCGTGTTCTGATATGTTTTAGAGGGCTGCAGCAATAGATTTGATGATGATCATCAATTTTGTCAGTATCTCCCAACCCTCTATACAACTCATCACAGATTTTCTCTGTTATGAAAGTTCTGTGTTTATTAATGTAATTTCCTTTTGCTTGTGTGGTCAGCACTGGGGGAGTTCATGCATCCATGTGAAGATGACATCGTGTGTAAATGTACGACAGAGGAGAACAAAGTGCCCTACTTTAACGCCCCAGTGTACCTGGAGAACAAGGAGCAGATCGGCAAAGTGGATGAGATCTTCGGACAGCTACGAGACTTTGTATCCTTTGTTCTGCGCAGTCCACGGACCATGAACAGAAGTGCTCTTCCCCACTAGAGCAGAGCGAGCCAAAGCTCACATTTAAAAAGCCGTTGAAAAGAGAAAAGTTTGAACAGAAAAATGTCTAATTTGAAAAAAGCTAATCACCACAAATTCCTACCCTTTGAAAGCTGTAGGTTCTTTGTCCTCCGAACACAAGCAGTTTGTGTTTACATTGTGCTCTATGGGAAAACCCTTTCTACTCCAGAGGAGTTTTTCACTGCTGGACTGGCCACTACAAACTCACAGCAGGTCTAATTTAGCAATACCTTACCCAGATTTTATAATGGATCCTTATTTTGCCACTGATTGAATTCCTTAACTTTTTGCTTTAGTACTTTTCAGTCAAACTTTCAGAAAACATGAAGGCGTCATCGTTCAAGAAGCTGCAGAAGGTGTTTATCTTTACAAGCCTGCTTTAGCAATAAACACGATCCAATTAAAATAGCAGTTTTAATTGTTGCCATACTTGTAAAAGGAGTTAGAAAACATGTTCTGAATTATGTAGGACTAGATAGGCTGCCTTCGTCTATTTGTTGCTCATTATTTGTCTACAATAATTTTGTGTTTTAATACCTGTTCCAGTTCTACATTGACCCCATGAAGCTGCTCCCCCTGCAGAGGTTCCTGCCCAGGCCCCCAGGGGAGAAGGGCCCACCGAGAGGAGGCCGAGGAGGGCAGAGGAGGCGGCCGAGGGGGATTCCGTGGAGGTATGAATTTAACTTCATTGACCCACACTATATAAAGGTAGTCCATGAATACAGAATACATTCAAAACACAAGTTGATTACAATGCATTAGTACATGATAAAGTGCATACATACGTAGGATGAACTATTACCCATTTGTATTCAGTAACCTAAAAGACACTGGCATAAAGGAATTCTTATGACTGTTCAAACCGGTTGACCCACTATGTGATTGTTTTTCATATCAAGTATCAAATCAGTACATACTCTCATTAAATTTCACTGTGCAATAAAAAAAAAATATATATTTATGTATAATAAATTAATGGTGAGTGTTTTTTGTAAGAATCAAATGCCAAAATTATAATTACTGTACAGTTTCAGCCTATGATGTGTTTAGCATTATACTATGTAATGTTGAGTTGAGGAGTCAAAGGGTTCATTAGTTAAATTGTTGGGGTTGAATAAGTGTTTACTTCCTCCCACTCCCTTTCAGACTTAAAGCAAACTGTGACAATAAAACGAAAGATGTTTTTAAACATTCCTTCACTAAAAGCAGAAATGTGCATCTATAATATCTTGTTTACATTCACAGTTCTGATTCATGGGCTTTGACAAAGAGGAGAATATAGACGTGTTGATTAGACAGAAGCTCCTAATTCTGATGTTTGTCACCAGGTGGATTCCGCGGGGGCCGGGGTGGAGGTGGTCGTGGCGGAGGTTTTGGAGGAGGAAGAGGAGGAGGAGGAGGTGGTGGTGGCTTCAGGGGAAGAGGAGGAGGTGGAGGCAGAGGATTCAGAGGTGACTTCATTTATCTTCACTTCAAAAAATAATTTCAAAATCATGTACCACCTTAATTTTTTTTTTTTACCATGTATTTAAGCAAAATGTGTGTGTGTGTGTGTGTGTGTGTGTGTGTGTGTGTGTGTGTGTGTGTGTGTGTGTGTGTGTGTGTGTGTGTGTGTGTGTGTGTGTGTGTGTGTGTGTGTGTGTGTGTGTGTGTGTGTGTGTGTGTGTGTGTGTGTGTGTGTGTAATTTGTATAAGCAGCTCTTAAGGTGAAATAAGTCCACTGTGTACTGCCTGCATATAATTATAGCAGTTTTATTGTCAGTTTTACGTGACTTTCTTGTTAACTGAACTGTCATTTTGAGTTTCAATTGGAACAATCACTTAAGCTCGAGACGCACTTCGAAGAGTTACAAATGCTCTTCTTTTCGTTCATTTGTGGCGATGTCACTGCCTATTTTGTGTATTCTTTTATTTATTCTTTTATACTTTTTAACGGTACCCAGGGCTACGCCTAGAAAGCCAATAACCCTTTTTCACAACGCCTGGAAGTCCCATCTCGTAAGGATGCGGAGCTTCAGGTTAATGCTTTTCTATGGTAAATGTCTGGAAATGTCTTGCGTCTTCTCCATCAGCTTCATTTCCAAATCTTCAAGAAGAATAATTTATCCACAACTATCAAGGTAAGAAAGACAAAAGCTTAAGGACAAACAATGACTACCTTTAGTGAACAACTCCTGAGCAAAACTAATGTTATTAATAAATTACTTATTACTAGGGGTGGGCGATATCTCGATATATTTAAAATATCGAGATGAATTCTGACATATCGTATATAGTTTTCAGTTTTAGAGGGTTATTTTTTCTTGAACATATATCGAGATATATATCGTATATCGAGATATAGCTAAATATATCGAGATATATTTTTGATCCATATCGCCCAGCCCTAGTTATTACTTATTATTTACGGTATTCATCACCATAAGTAACTTGTTAACTCAGACTGATTCTATAATTAAAAAAAAAAAATGACTTCATGTTGTTGATATCAGCATAGACAGAGACATTTGTGCAGATCAAATGCTAGAAAGCTTCACAGATTACATGTCCAGCATTCAAACTGCACAAATGTAACTGTCTATGCTGATATCAACATCATGAAGTCAATTTTTAGAATCAGTTTGAGTTAACAATTTAATTATGTTGTATTTATGACCATAGCGTTAGTTTTGCTCAGGAGTTCACTAATGCTCGGCGTTGTCGTCTTTCTTACCTTGATAGTTGTGGATAAATTCTTCGTGGAAAAATGTTTATCCTTTGTGGACCTTGTTGGTTAAAGTTGGTTTGGTGATGGAGCAGATTTATGAAGCTGGTGACGAATATGCAAGACATTTCCACAGACATTTCGCCATAGAAAATAACCTTAATAGGCAGGACGTCCGGCTGTTGTGAAAAACGTCTATTGGCCATGACTTCTCTCTTTCTTACTCTCTACTTGCCTTTGCTGTTACCTTTTATGGCATTGCTCTTGAAAACAGAACTAAGACTTGTCCCATGTTTGAAGCAGTATTGTATTTGTACCTATCAAATATCATAATACTGATTTGTACACGTGTATTCCACAGGTGGGAGATGATCCTGTCCGGACAGTGTGTGACTGCAGACTTCTTCTGTGCCAGAGCCTGGACTCTTCCATGTGGACCCTGCGAGTTTTCATTTACTGTCAGATTATGTTGTATTTTCCTACATGTTTTCCAGGAAGTGGTTTTATTTAAAAGAATGCTGCGTAAAGTTATTTTGTAAACGGGATGTCTATATTCTGTACAGGTGATCTCATGGCAGCCAAGATTTTACATGTATTCGTAACTTTGATGCATTCAAGATAATAGAAAAGATCGGTGATACCATGTTTTTTAATGATTTGTAATGTCTAAGAATTTTGATTTGTGATGAAACGCCTTGAATAAAAGGTGCTTTATATAATTATTTGTCTGTATTTTGTCCATCTTTACATTTTTTTCATGCTTTGTAAAGATATAAATACTAAAAGCTAAATGCACTGCAAGTTTCTCTGATCTGGCCAAGATTTTAAAACTTATCAGGTTATTCATTTTGTTTTCAGATTTATTATCTACTTAATAGTTGTGAAATGCTTAATTCTAATCTAGAGGTAGTTTATTTTATGATAACTTGTTCAGTAAATTTGTCTTGCTGCATGGACAGATAATTTCACTACTTTCAAGTAATTTTCTGATAGATTTAAGTGTTTGTTTCTTAAATTTTGGCCAAGGTTTTTTGCGGTGTCCTAAGCTACTGGGTGATTATTTGAACTGACTTGTGGTTTAGTGTTGTTTATTCTGTCCCCCTTTCCCTTAAGCTTACGAATTTATAATTTACATAAATGTATTACATTGCCAACATAGTTCTTGTACACACTCACTACAAAGTCTATTCACCAAATCATCTGAAATAAGCTACCACTTCTCTTTTCTCTTTTTTGTGCTTTGAAAACTAGAAACTGCCATAGTAACGTAGATGTAATAAAACAAATGTATGTATAAAAGGTTTTTTTTGTGGTTTATTTTTTTTTACTCGTGAATATGTGCCTTTAAACATTCTAACAGCCCCCACAGTGGAGTGTTTTACGTCTCATCTTAAAACCCACTTTTTAATCTCTGGCTTTTAATACCGGCTGAGCTGTGTGGTCCTCTAGGTCAGGGGTGGGCAAACTACGGCCCGGGGGCCGTATGCGGCCCTTTAAACCTTTTAATCCGGCCCGCCGAACTGGAATAAATTACAATAATAAACCTTGTTGATGTTTTATTTGTCATGCATTTCCAGCGTTTCCCAGTAGATGGCGCACTATATATACATTGAGGGGCGGTGCATTAGGTTGGCCGCAATGCTTTATGGGAAAGTATTCTTACAGGAGTTATCCGGACCATGAGTGAAGTAGTTGGTGCTTAAGATATAAGACTGCACTGCTTCCAATTTGAGTTAGTAAAAATCAATCAAGAAAACATATGGCCTGTGTGTTGTAATTATAAGCGTATATAACATTTCCGTGGCAGGATATGTCACACTTTCAGGTGTGTGTTTGTGGTTGATCGGCGTGGGCTTTATTTATAAGCTGTTACCAGTCATATCTGTAACGGTGAACTTACGATATACTTTTACTCGTGGTGTGCAGTGGAAAAGATCTTAACGGATAATGTTCTAAAACAGCAGTGATGAAACGTGAAGCACGCGTCTGAAGTCTTAGATAAATGCTATGAAGATGTAATGACTCTAAACTCTTAATAGGTTACGTCCTGTTTCGTGGCCCACCCTGCAGTCAAACTTTATGACCCCATGTTGCCCGCCTTAATACTATTCGAGCGTTAAACAATGGAACTCCTAGAACAGAACTCCTAATGATCTGCAACGTTCAGAACATAGTTTTTGGTATTCATAGAATACAGACTTTTCTATGAACTAAACACAAGCTGAACCAGTGCATTTTTATATCTTGAACATTTCTACCTGACTTATGGTCCAAATACGCCGCCCGAAAGAATACTTTCCCATAAAGCATTGCGGCCAACATAATGCACCGCCCCTCAATGTATATATAGTGTGCCATCTACTGGGAAACGCCGGAAATGCAGAAAAAAAAAACATTAACAAGGTTTATTATTGTCATTTATTCAAGTTCGGCGAACCTGAATAAATTACAATAATTTATTCAAGTTCGTCGAACTTATAGTATAATTAAAGTAATTTATTCAGGTTCGGCGAACTGGAATAAATTACAATAATAAACCTTGTTACTGTTTTATTTTTCCTGCATTTCCCGCGTTTCCCAGTAGATGGCGCACTATATATATACATTAAGGGGAGGTGCATTATGTTGGCCGCAATGCTTTATGGGAAAGTATTCTTTTGGGCGGCGTATTCACACCATGATGGAGGTAGAAGTGTTCAAGATATAAAGGGGCATTGTCTCTTTTCAATGGTGACAAAGCTAAGTCTGTAGGGATTCAGATGCAATGTTGAAATCAATACCAAGTATGTACAGCGGAGCTCGCCCTGTGTTGGTGAATGCACACATGGTGAAACACCGTGGAGTAGACACTGCTTTATTTAGTAATATGATCCAGCCGCGCAGGGCTAATGCCCACATGTGGTGTGCGGTGGAGCAGACCTCATTCACTCCTCATGTGTTCTGAAACTTCTGCGTCTCCAGAAGTTGCAGCGCGTAGTGTCAAATACGTTCTACATGAGGGTGAATACGAGTGCAATGGAGCCGGGCTCTTAACACGTTCTGCCTCCTCTCCGGCCCTTCAGTCAATTTTTAGAGCCCTATATGGCCCCTGAACCAAAAAGTTTGCCCACCCCTGCTCTAGGTCTTCTATTTGTTTTGCTTATTTACTGCTATTTTATGAATTTTATTGTTTTGCTTTTATTTGATTTTACTGGTTTTATTGTTTTAGGGCTGGTATGATCAAATTTGAGCAAATTTCCTTTTTGTTGTCTTCATTTTATGGTCTCTTTGCAGCACTTTGGAAACTATAACCAGGGTTCCCACTTTTTTCAGTGACAAAATTTAAAAACTTTTCCATGACCTTTTCCATGACCTTTTCATGACCTAAAGTGAATTTTCCATGACTTTACGGCAGAGGTGGGGACTTGCAAGTCTTGACTTGGACTTGAGTCAGACTTGAGTAACTATTTTTAGGACTTGGGACTTGATTTGTTAAAATGGACTAAGACTTGGGACTGGACTTGGACTTGAAGGTCACTGACTTGGAAATTGACTCAGACTTGAGGCCTGTGACTTGAGAAGCACTTTTAAAACTGAATTCTTTCTATTCTCACCATAATGATTCACACTAAATCTTGTCAAGACATTTAAAAAGGAAAAAATAACTAAATTAATTTCTACAACTCTTATATACTCTGTAAATACCCATATACAAATGTACTATGTTTTTTTTTTTTTATTACAGTCTATCTTAAAGGTTATATAAATTGCAAAAATGTAAGCTTTGGTTTAAAGACTTGAAATAACTTGAAGCTCAAAGCAGATGACTTGGACTTGACCTGGACTTATGGGCCAGTGACTCGAGACTCAACTTGGACTGGCCTGTATTTGACTTGGGACCTGACTCGGACTTGAGGTCAAAGAATTGAGACTTAATTGAAACTTGCAAAACGACGACTTGGTCCCACCTGTGCTTTATGGCATGGAACTGATCATACTTTTAGAGCTAAATATGAAATGTTGACCCTTTCCACTCACCTTATGGTATGATTATAGTTTTTTTAACATTCAGTACTGTCAGTGCATTTATTGTCGTCTCTTTGAAAAAATAAAAAATAAAAGTTGCATGAAAGAGATACTAAAATTCCATAACTTTTCCAAAACTTTCATTGAATTTACAAAATACCATGACTTTTCCAGGTCTGGACAATGACCTTTCTCATTTCCATTACTTTTCCAGGATTTCCATGACCGTGGGAACCCTGTATAACCTATAATAAAACAGAAATGTAACGTGTATAATCTTATCAAGTACGAACTCATGTTATTAATACAAATCAGGCTAAGAACCGTGAAATGCCCTGCTACTTTCATTCATCCATTCATAAATGTTTGGTTTAAACTTGAGCGCGTTGGTTCGTTCCTGTTTTTCCTGCGTCAGTTACGTAACCCTGATTTCCTGGCTCCTGATTGGTCCAGAGCACGCCTCCTTTACGGCCGCTCTCCGCCCCTCCTTCCTCTCTCCTGCGCACGCTGCTAACATGGACACAGCTGGGAAAGTAAGCACTCTTTTACAAAATGCACCAAAAATCTCACTCTGGTACGGACGTGCATGGGCCTTTACGTGTATAAGACGTGTAGGAAAAGGTTAATGCATTTTATTCGGAGTTTTAATGCGAACGCGTGGGCCTGGTTTTGCAACGAAGAAGTGTTGGAAAGTAGGCTAGCTATTCCCTGATCCCATATTCGCACTGGGATTTGCGACTGATTAGTTGGCTGTATGTTTGGCTGTATGTTTGTTTGTACAAAAACTTACTCCTTTCAGCATCAAAATACCTCTTTGCTTTCTTGCATCGTGTAGGCCTATACAAATTGGTTACATAATAATCTAAAGACTCTTTAAATCCGTCAAGTGGTGAGCTCTAGAAACGCCCTGCTATCTTCTATCACTTTTACAGTTTATGGCCAGTCAAAATCCAATAACCAGAACAGTCAGATAACCCAATAAGAAGGTCTGATGTACAAATGAAATGATTAATTATCTAAAACACCAGTTAGTCAATGGATTTCTAGAGTAAAGAATTAAAACATATGTTGTTATAACCTGTGCAGATGAGAAAAAGAAATCAGATTACTGGCATCAGTGTTTATGTTGCATTTCAATAGTCTGACAACCCCAGAAATGATCTAATAATCAGATTTTTGTGAATTTTCCAATTTTAAATATATTGATGTATGTATAGTAGTAGGGATATCGTGATATTGTATCGTCAGAAGTCTCTCAATAATATTGTGGGCTGTCACAGTATATCAAATTACAAGTTCCTTTGCATAAATGCATGGTTTTATTGTAGCAACAGCTTTTAAAAATTGGAAACAACATATCCCATGATTCATTTCAGAGCAGATAACCTGAAGAGAGATGTTTTTACTTGAATTCTTGGGATTATGACGGAAATAATTCACACCAAAATCTTGTCATGGTATTTTAAAAGCAAAGAAGTGTCCCATCTACAATTATCATAG